AGATTACATTGATCTACTTAGAAAATTTGGTATTTTACACTGACCATGCTACATATACATCTTTCTTCTAATAGAAGCCCTAGGCCAGCTGGATTGTACACTTTCTGAGTGACAGGCAAAAGAGTAAAACTGATAGCTAATGACTGCAGACTTTCTTTGTGGCTGGGATTTTAGGGATTCTAATAATTTTTTTAAAAATACACTTCTTGTTTTCCAATTTCACTCACTTCTGCTCATTTATACTTGCCACTGCTGCCATCAAGGCTGAAAGCAGTTCTCTTTCTTTTCTTTCATATTCTGAGTTTTAAAAAGTAATGAGTTTTTTATTGTTTTTTGTTAAGGGTTCTTTTTGTTTGTTTTATTTTGTTTTGAGACAGGTTCACTCTATGTAGCCAGGGCTGACCTGGAATTCTCTGTCATCAAAGGTGGCCATAAACATCTAATTCTCTCAGCCTCTCAAAAGGCTGGGATTACAAATGTATACCACCACGTCCAGCAGCAAGTAAATGATCTTGGAGAGTGACATTCTGCTGTGATTATATCATATGTAGAGGTGGTCTCTAGGGAATGCTTTTAAAATTATTTAAATATTTTGAATTGACAAACCAGTTGTTGTGTGTGTGTGTGTGTGTGTGTGTGTGTGTGTGTGTGTGTAGTCCAATATAGTATTTTGAAATATATGTGGAATGGTTAAATTTAGCTAATAAATTTCTAGATTACATAACTATACTTTTGTGCTGAGAACATTAAACAGCTACTAGCTCTACATATTTCAATAATAATAATATCACTGTATTATACATAACTATACTATATCTGTTAACTATAGTCATCATGCAGATCCTTCTATCTCTCTGTGATAAACAGTATCTTATCTTTCTATCTTTCCATCTCCCCCAGCCAACCCAGCCCCTGGTAACCACCATTACTTGGTACTTCATTGTGCTCAATCTTTTTTTTTCCCCCCAAACAGGAGTAAGATAATTTTATGTTTATTTTTCTGTACCTAGCTTATTTCGTGTAACATACTGTCCTTCAGGTACATCTGTGGTGTTTCAAATGATGATTTTATTTTTTATATATTTCATTGTGTAAATGTGTATCACATTTCCTTTATTCCTTCATCCATTGGACACTTAGTTGTTTCTGTATCTTAATAGTTGTAAATAGAGTTGTAAAGTATGGAAGTGTAGGTTGTCTTACTAATTGATTTGATTTCCTTTGTATGTGTACTTAATAGAGGAATTGATGGGTCATATGGGTATTCTATTTTTTTAAGAGCTTCTATAATCCTAATTTAAGCTTTACTAATTTACACTCCCACCAACAGTGTAGAGTTCTCTTTTCTAGAATACTGGCATGTGAATAGTTGTTCCAGTTGATGTTTGGAACAACTTGGGGTAATAGTTGCTGGAGATCATTTCTATTTTGCCATCTTATTTTTTCTTCTCTTGGCAATGGCTAGGAGACAATGGCAAATAATGTAAAGCATAGAAAGTATTTTTAGTGTAACACACATAAGGAACATCAGTAAATGATAGATTTTATTTGTGTCATTATTATTGCTGTTCTTGTGCTATCTTATCTCAAAGGAACACATTATGCAGTGAGATTTCATTTGTTTTGATTTCTTCTATGTCCAAACATTATAGCTAGGCAGATACAGGGAACTATTTGAAAAATATTTAAGATCAGATGCAGAAAATAAAGATTAAGTAGAGAAAATAATCAGTTTTAAGCTTTACTTGGGCAGTCATGGGGCTTGAACTCAGGGCCTGGTTGCTGTCCCTGAACTCTTGCTCAAGGCTAGCGCTCTCTCACTTCCATTTTTCTTGTGGTTAATTAAAGATAAGAGTCTTACAGGAACTTTTCAGCCCCATCTGGATTTGAACCACGATCCTCAGATTCCAGGTTCCTGAATCACTTGGGTTACAAGCGTTAGCCGCCAGTGCCCGCCTAAGCTTTATTTTTTTGAATCAAAAGGCTGCACTGAAATTAAATAACAAATGGAAGATTCTATCAAAAAGATGAAAATTAAACTCATTTCTTCAAAATACATGTAGCTGTACATTATAAACATTTCATGAAAGATAACATTCGTTATATATACTACTACATTATAACTGGAAAAAGGAACAAAAGGTGATTAGCACATAATGGTTGCCAACTATGACCTTTATTCTAGATAAGAATGATGAAACTACACAGAAAATTATTCACTAAGAAACCTATTAAAGAGTCTGCTTCACAAATATTTCTAAGTATGTACTGATTTTGCATTTGATTCTTACTGAGTGTAGGCAATTGTGATTCTCATGTATGTGTGCATGTATTTTGTCTTATTAAATTTCTTTAGTAACGTTTTTTCAAATAAAATTTTTGAAGGCAATTTTGTATATCAGACAAAAACAAGCTTTTTGGCTTGAAAGAAGAAAAGACTCTTCGTTACTCTGTAGAACTTCCATTGAACTCATGATATATTAAGATACATAGTGTTTCAACCACTTAACTAGAAAAACCTCTGATGTTGTTTTTCTTGTATAATAACTTACTAATGGACTTAATTGTTAAGAATTGTGATAAGGCTAGTCTACAATGCTTCAAAGTAATTTCCTTTTTTCTCCTCAAAACTAATTATTATACCAACATAAACCAGATTGAGTGAGATGAAAGTTTTTATTTGCAGTTTTAGTGTGTATTTCTAATGTAGCTTCTCTTGTTTATTTGACTGTTATGATGGCATATTGGGTCATTTTACTTATCAGTGGACTAGGGACTATAGTAATTCCATTAGAAGTTATACACCTGAAGGAAAAACAAAACAAAAATCTGATCAGAATGATTGATTTTGAATTGATTTACATGTGAAAAAGTAGTCATTAGTTTCTTAAAATTTGTGCATTCTTATGATTCAAAAGAATTGTTTGCTAAAAAAAATTAGTAACAGTTTACTAGGCAGCTAAATTTATAAAAATTTTCTTGAGGTTTCTGATTTTGTAACTTAAAATTTATATATGATATGCATTTTAGAACTGTGTTTCTTAACAAAATTTGTTTCATAGATAGCTAACTAGCAGATCTTTAAAAGACCAAAGGCTTATTTCATTTCAATTAAGCTTTCTAAACTTTCAGACTCGAAGTTTTTATAACTTAGCCACTTGCCAAAACAGACAAGAAACATTATGAAAACAAATTTTATGGTATAATATACCTCCAGTTGTTAATTAGTTCAGCTGGAAAACACCTTTTTCTACAGCATGTCAACATTTTTAATTTTTGGGTCTCACTCAGGAGGTGTATAATGAAGAACATTTATTTTTAAATTATAAAAGGTAGAAAAGCAATCACAACTCAACAGGTTGAGACCAATGTTTATTTAATATGAGTTGAAGATTACCTGATAGCTTACAAAACAATGGGAAAATGTCTTGAGAGTGAATGCAGACTTTTCCAACTTTAAATGTTTTAATGAAGAATTGTGTATCATTTTTAGAAAAGGCTAATCTGGATTTTGAAATTTTAATACTTGTAATTTTGAGGGACTGTAATAAAAGGGAATATAAATTATAGATAAGATTTTAGATAATCTATGAATGGAACAAAACTTATATCTTACATAGATTATAAGTGATTATAATACCTTAAAGTATTATTGATAGTGACAGTAGTGAATTACCTAATATTTATGTTCACAAAGATAAAAATATGTAAGTGAATCATTTTACTTATTACATGAGTCTTATGACTGAAATAACCTGGATGTTACACTATTTGGTTCCAGTATGACCTTTTTTCTTTTTTCTTTTTGTTGTGGTTGCTCTGTTTCAATTTGTAAATTTTCAGCTGATATATCTTCATATTCACAAATCTTGTATTTTACTCTGTTAGACTACATGTGAAACCTATCAAGTCTTATTTTTATATACTATATTTTAGAGGTTTTTGTAGAATTTCTTTTGTAGACTTCTGTGTGTCTTACTCTTTTTTTTTTTAATAAATTTTTTATTGTGAAAATACCATACAGAGGGGTTACGATTACATGAGCAAGGTAATGAGTAAATTTCATATCAAGCATTGTTGCCTCCTCCGTTGTTTTTCCCCTACCATCCCTTCCCTCCCATCTCCACGACTACACTCCCCTTCACCCCCAAAGTTGTAAAGTTCGTTTTTGTTTTTCCGACAGTGTCTTATACATCTCATTGTTGCAATGGGTCCACCTGTATCTCTATTTAAACAATTTGTTACTCTTTTTCTTCTTAATTACTATTAATACTTTATGCTTCTTCTGATACTTGAAATTTCTATTATATACAGTGTTATTTCTCAGAAAAGTAGACATCAACATAAATGTCCTTTTCCCTTCACTCCATATTTAGAAATATATGAAGAAGTGCTAATTTTTCTCTAACATTTTCTGTTACTTTGGACTCCACTGGATTTTAATCTGACATGGCATCCTGGAAACAATAAGAGCTGTGTTAGTTTTCCTGTACCCCAGGAATGCCCTTCTTTTTCAACCTTCATTTTATCTCAATGAAAAATTATCCAGAAATCAAAACTATCAGCCATCTCAGATTATTTAAGAGAAGAATTTTACCATCCTGCAAGTTTAGTTTATCTTTTTAGTTTTTCATGCTATTTTTTAAAAAAAAACAAAAACCAAAGGATCTAGGGCCACGTCTCTTTTGTACTAATTAATATGCAAGCAGTGACCTGCCACTGTGTATAAGTAAAATTAATCTTGTAGAAGAACAAAATTTTAAACCTACATGCTTGTTAAGTTACATATATATATATATATATTACATGCATATCTAAAGATACTGAAATATTGACTTTATTATTAAATATTAATATTTGTTACTAAATTTACCAAACCTGGTAGTCAGTTTGGTAAGTGTTTGGAAAAAATTAAGCAAATTTTCATTTCAAAATCACTTTGGTCAGCAAGAACTAAAGTGTAACAAAAATTAATTTTCTCTTTCCTCTTCTTTTGTTAGTGAGTGATAGCTGCTTCAGGAATCTTGCAGAAGACCGCAGTGGGATAAATCTCAAAGATCTTGTACAAGATCCTTCCTTGTGAGTATTTGGTTTTCAGTACTAATTATAATTTAAAACTTTATTAGTGTTGCTTTTTCAAAAGAGATATAATAGCTTATGATAGATCAATTTCTTCATTGTTTTGTGCTACAGATAGTAAATTTTATGACACAGCATTTTTCTCAGGAATAGAAGAGGTTGATTGCTTTTTTAAAGGGATGATGCCATCATGTAAAACAAAATTCACTCTGCTAACATGATATCTTGCCTATGTGGCAGTACATAGCAGATGAAGGTAATTATGAATCATTAACTTGCTTGGAAAAATTAGACTAAATTTCCTCATATCAGTTTTAAGCTTTGTTGAATATATTACTTTAATAATTATAACTAGAGATGTAAAAATAATTACTCATAATAATAATATATACTTGCACATGTTGAAAATGTTTCTTTTGTTGGGGCAGTTTTAGGGCTTCAACTCAGGTCTTTATACTTGCTGGGAAAATATTGTGCCATTTAACTACACCTCTAGCCCATTTGGACATATTTGAAAGGTTACATATTTCATGTACATGACACAGGAATTTTTGAGTTTTATAACTTTTAGTTTTATTTTTTTGTATGAGTCAAATCCATTTTGACCAGCCTATAGTCCATACTTAAATAACTACATTTTACAATTTATATTTACTGACAAACAAGCACACTATCTTCCCTATGAATTGTATTCACCTAGTAAGAACATCCTTTCTCTTAAAACGCACTCTCTCTCTCTCTCTCTCTCTCTCTCTTTCTCTCTCTCTCTCTCAAACAAAACTAATCAAGGCTAGTTAAGTCTGTACAGCTGGGAAAGAGAAAATTGAGTGCTTGCAGGTGTTTTCCTTAATGAGACATAATGCATGCAACAAATTATACTAAAACAAAAAATCAGTCTTCCAGATCATATGTAATCTACCCTCGTAGACGTTTCACTAATAAATCATTGAGAATTTTACAAAGTATAAAACACAATGATGTCTTGAAATGGAAAATTACTGATTTATTACTGATTGACCAGTCATTTACAAAAATGTTATAAAGAGTGGCAGCCAGGAGACATAAAAATGTGTATCTGGGGGCTGGGAAGGTGGCTCAGTGTAGAGCGCTTGCCTTGCATGCATGAGGCCCTGGGTTTGATTCCTCAGCCCCACATAAGCAAAAAGAAAAAAGACAGAAGTGGCGCTGTGGCTCAAGTGTTAGAGTGCTAGCCTTGAGCTGAAGAGCTGAGGGACAGCGCCCAGGCCCAGAGTTCAGGCCCCATGACTGGACCACAAAAAAAAAAAAATGTGTATCTGAATGAGTTTCCCAACATGCTCATTCTATTTTTTTCCTCTTCTTAATCTGTCTCTCTTTTCCTCACTCAACAGTATGGTCAGTATTTTTTCTTGCTGATAATTATCCTTATGAAGATTATCAGTTGCCTTTTTCAGTCTTGTAAAATTTGACTTAGAATACAAATATTCTATATAATACATATGTACCTAGTGAAGGAATAGTGAATAACATTTATTTGCATAAATAACTCGATTTCCCTAGTGGATATGGGAGAAAACTTAATATTTTCTTCTAATGATTTCACTCATTTAAGTTATTACTTCCAATGTATTATTTGTAAGCATTTTAACACAATGTAATTTTGTCCATTAGATGTAAGATTATACTGAAAAATATGCTTATGAAATCTTCAATAATATAAAATTATAAAGAACTATATTTGAATAATGTGTTATATTAATGAATCATAGTCCTTTGAGATAATTTGATGCTTTCTCTTTGAATGCAGAATAATATTCATCATTCATCCTACACTAAATTCCAAAGTTTTATCGTAGCATTCTATGAAAAATTCTGTCTTTATTGGATTGACACAATAATTCTCAGATTCTATGTTTTAGAACAGCCAGCTATCTTAATTTAGTATCATTCTCTTAAATTGACATTAGCGTCTTGACATTAATCTGGAATGTAAGACTTGCAGTATTCAAGGAGGAAGAATTTATATTTGCTCATGTCCATTTGGATTTGGAAAGAATTTTTGCTGTGTTAATAATTGTAAAGGTGTATTGTTAATACTGTCATATCTTAGAGATATATTTGTTCAGTGGTAAGCCTTGTAGTAAGAAGTATACAATATGGAAAAATATTTTTCTCTTGTAGGATGGTATATATTTCCTTCTGAGTTTGTGTACTGTGTGTTGTGAATACAATATTCATTCAATACATGTTTCATATATGTGAATTTAAAAAAGTTTGGTATCTTTTGTGTCCCATACTCTTTTTTTTTTTTTTTTTTGGTCGGTCGTGGGGCTTGAACTCTGGGCCTGGGCGCTGTCCCTCAGCTCTTCAGCTCAAGGCGAGCGCTCTACCAATTGAGCTACAGCGCCACTTCTGTGTCCCATACTCTTGACATAAATCTTTTACTACTTTTCATCAGCTAATATTCAGTATGTTTCTAGATGTTTATATTAAGTTATATTGACCAGAAAATTTATGCAAATATCTATTCTTACAAAAATACCTTCCTTAAGATATCATGCTGAAAACTCTAGTGTAATGATTATTAAAATTCTATATTATTTTAATAAATGTTTCAGAACAAAGTTTTAAATATGATGAGAATCAAATGATTGCTTTATATGTTAATGTGCCTTATAGGTTTGTATTATGAGTCACCTGCCTGAGCTGCTACTACTGAGGGAAGTTCATGGCAAATAGAATTAAATATTTCAAGGGAAAACAGAATAACAATAACAGAGGAAGAAAGAGCCGGGCTGAGGAAAAAAACAGGTTTATCTGGCCAGTAGTGACATTCAGAACAGCAGATAGATGAGAACATACAGAATATTTTGTGGAGAAAATACAGGAATAATATATCAATGATTTTTAGCCAAAAATATTCAGAGTTATACAAGGAAGAATTTGCTTCATCTGAGTAGATTGTAAAGCAGAGCCTAAAGTTCATACTTTAAATCTATGCAGAGTTAATAGAATATTATGATAGCTAGTAAGTAATTTATCTAGACTGTATAATACAACAATATTTTTACTTCTAATGCAGTAAAACAAATTACTGGACTTGAATGAATTGAGTGAGTTATTGTCTGAACATGCTGAAGGAGAAGGCCCCATAAAAGAAATATGAGGGCTAGGAAGGTGACTCAGTGGTAGAGCGCTTACCTGGCATGACTGAGGCCCTGAGTTCGACTCCTCAGCACCACATTAGCAAAAAGAAAAAAGCCAGAAGTGGCACTGTGGCTCAAGTGGTAGAGTGCTAGCCTTGAGCTGAAGAGCTGAGGGACAGCGCCCAGGCCCAGAGTTCAGGCCCCACGACCGGACCCAAAAATAAAACAAAAAAGAAATATGAGAAATTTGTGAATTTCTTAGCAGGATTCTCTCATCTTTCTACTTTTACAGCTTTCATAATAATGAGAATAAAATATGAGTTGTGGTAAGTTTGATGATACCTAACAAACCTCTTTTTCCTTGAGTGGCTGTTTCTGTCACAGTGTTATAGGTGTTAAGTAGAGGAACTTCAAACTCACTGGAGCTATTTTTCATGTGTTTATTTGAGTTAGTAATTGGTATACATTCAAGTTTTTGAAATTACTGTTTATAACTGGTATTTTTAGTCTCAGTGATACACTGAAGAGTGAATGTTAAACTGATGTTGTCATCATATTAGAAATGTATTTAATGTGGTACTTAATGCTATTCCAACTGAGATGTTACTCTGTACAATATATTTAATTTTTCTTAAGTGGATACATGCATATTACTTGTTATAATTGTTTATAATCTTTATACGAAAAAGACATATTGTATAAGGATACTTTAAGTTATATTTAATTGTATTTTATCTCTATAGAAGCAAACCTCATTACTTTTGAGTCTGTTTTGGAAGTGTACTACAGATAAAATATAGTACTGTGTTTATTATTTACATCTTATTGCTATTTGTAAATAGCATAATTAGTTGAACCTAAACACTTTTAGATATTAAAGCTCTTCAAGAATCTAAAAAACCATATAGCTAACAAGACTTAGAGAAATAGGTCGGTATCTTTATGATGCTGCTACAAACACACAGATTCTCTTCACTGCCAATACAAAGAAAAATAAAAGCATAAATGAGGTCATAGTTAATTTTACAACCATCACATTTGAGAGAATTTATCTTTCCTATTTTGCATTGCTTGATCTATTAAGCATGTGGATTACAAAATATTGATAAAATAGTTAATTGAAAAAAATTGTATAGTATTTGTATTAATATTTAATTAGATAATATATGAATTGATAAAATATTTAATATTGATATAGTAAATGTATTTTGATGTAATATGTCATTAATGGTTAAATTTTAAAAACAATGATTATTAAATATAATAATGTACATTTATAAATTTATCCAATATCAAAATTGTATTTACTTTATGTTCTTCACAAATTTTACCACTTTGAGTGGAAACTTTATTCTTCTGGTGGTTCTGAAATACAGCCTTACCCTCCTGAACATACTTGTCATTCACACTACAGTCTGATTAAATGATATTTTTTCCTTGGATCATGACATTTAATATGAAGGTAAGACAGGATTGCTGTCTAGAAAGCAGTCATCTCTAAATATAGTCTGTACTAATGCTAGTATTAAAACAGGTTGCTAACGAGAATTGAATTTTTTTTTAATGCCAGTCAGCAAAGGATAAACGACCATTTCTGAAGTTGCTGTGCACATGTTAAGTATATAGATATAATTGATTATAATATTTCAAATTTAAAGTATTTTAAGATCTTTACTATTCATTAAACAAAACAAGACTTTTTGAATTATTCCCCTTTGTTTCTCCACAAGAACATATCATTTGATATAAATATTTTTTCCAATGACAGTATTTTAAACATTATTGACTTTTATTTTGCTCAACTGCAAACAGTTCTGCTAAATCTGAAAAAAAAATCTAAGGATGTCTTGTTTGTAAATAATACCTCTAAGTGTT